TGTTCCTGCAGAACTTTACCAGGTTCTGTTCCTGCAGAACGTTAACAGGTTCTGTTCCTGCAGAACTTTAACAGGTTCTGTTCCTGCAGAACTTCACCAGGTTCTGTTCCTGCAGAACGTTAACAGGTTCTGTTCCTGCAGAACTTTACCAGGTTATGTTCAGAACTTCACTAGGTTCTGTTCCTGCAGAACTTTACCAGGTTCTGTTCAGAACTTCACCAGGTTCTGTACCTGCAGAACTTTACCAGGTTCTGTTCAGAACTGTACCAGGTTCTGTTCCTGCAGAACTTTACCAGAACCTGTTAGAACCTGTTGAACTGCAGCCCGTTAGTCTTGAAGACCCAGAACCAGAACCGGGTTTTTCCCACCTCCCCTCTGCATGGATGCGACCCGTCTCCCCTCCTCTGGTTCTGTTGTTGTTCTCGACAGAACCACAGATTTGAAGCTGTTTCTTCCAGCCCATTGGTTGGTTCTGTGCAGCCGTCAGAACCTCCCTCTGCTGTTGTTCTGGATGTGTTCTGAAGATGTTCCTCTCACTTGTCTTTAAAAGGCACCTCTTCAGATTATCAAAGCCCGACTTGAATCCAGAGACGGTTCCGAGGACTCGCTCCGTGTTTGTCAGCTCACAACTCGGCGCCTCTTGTCGCAGTTCTGAGCGATGAAAGAACCTCGTCGAGTCGGTTTAGAAGGAGAAGTTTGGACTCAAGTTCTGCCCACGTGTCTGCTGTGAAGTTAGCTGGGAGATAATCGGTTCTGACCCTGAAGTCGTATCAAGAACAAGACCATCTGGTCCAGAACAGATGACACTGGGTCTAACTCAGACCTGGTCATCAGAACCTGCTCCTCCTCAGCTTCTAATTTTAATGTTTTTAATTTGTAACAGATGAACGTCTTAGTCTCTGAGGATGAAAAGGTTTAAATTTCCTTTGGTCGAATTGATCAAAGAAAGAAGAAAAAACAGTTTGATGAACAGAAAACAGGATTTTATCTCCAACAGTTTGATTCCTGAAGAGTCAGATGTTTTCACATCAACATGTTTAATAATGCAGATAAACTCAGAGATAATCCTCATCACATCATGACTGGAGATCAGAACACRTGTGTGTGCTGAACACACATCACAGCAGGTCTGAGACCAGGGGGCGGAGTCAACATGTGGGGGTATTACTGCTCTTAATCCTGGTTAACAGTACACATTAAACTGGTTAATCCAAGTCATCCATCCATCCATCCATCGATTCATCCATCCATCACATTAAACTGGTTAATCCAAGTGATCCATCCATCCATCCATCCATCCATCCATCCATCCATCCATCCATCCGTCACATTAAACTGGTTAATCCAAGTGATCCATCCATCCATCCATCCATCCATCCATCCGTCACATTAAACTGGTTAATCC